GTCGGCCCCTCACTGGGGCCGCAGGCGGCCGCTTGGGCCCGGCGAGAAGGCCCTGCAGGAGGCCCCAGAAGGCAGGAGAAGACCCAGGGAGTGCCGCCGTGGTCTCGAATAGCCCTCCTCCGAGAGGCCTGCTGGTAGCTTGTCGGCCCCTCACTCGGGCCTCAGGCGGCTGTTTGGGACGAGCTTGGCACCCCCAGACGCCTCTCGACGAGGCGCATGCCGATGAAAAGCACCCCGGCCCAAAGACTTCCACGGGCGCCCCTTCAAACTTCGACGTCCTGGAGAGGCCTACAGGGGGTTCTACAGCTGCCGCGCCTTCGACGGCATCGTGGTCAAGTGCTCGTGCCTGAACCCCGCCGGCTGGGTGTGCATCATCGGTGACGCCGCGCACGCGGTGCAGCCCGCCACCGGCGAGGGCATAAACTCCGGGCTGGAGGACGCCGACGTGCTCGGGGCGGCCGCGCTAGAGAGGAGGAGGAGGAGGAGGAGGAGGAGGAGGAGGAGGAGGAGGAGGAGGAGGAGGAGGAGGAGGAGGAGGAGGAAGGAGGAGGAGGAGGAGGAGGAGGAGGAGGAGGAGGAGGAGGGAGGAGGAGGGGGGGCGGAGCGGAGGCGGAGGCGGAGGAGGAGGAGGAGGAGGAGGCGAGGCGGAGGGCGGAGGCGGAGGCGGAGCGGAGGCGGAGGCTTGGAGGAGGAGATAGAGGAGGAAGAGGAGGAGGAGGAGGAGGAGGCGGAGGAGGAGGGGAGGATGAGGAGGTGGAGGCGGGAGGCGGAGGCGGAGGTGGCGGAGGTGGAGGAGGAGGAGAGGAGAAGGAGGAGGATGATAATAATGAAAATAAGATGATCAATACTAATGATACTAATCATAAGCATACTAACAAACAATCATAATAATCACAATAATCATACGACAAAAAGTAATACTAATGATAATAATAATAAGAAGAAGAAGAAGAAGCAGAAGACGAGGAGGAGGAGGAGGTGGAGGAGGAGAAGGAAAAGGCGGAGATAAGGAGAGGAGGAGGAGGAGGAGGAGGAGGAGGAAGGAGAGGAGGAAGAAGGAGTAGGGGGAGGAGGATGAGGAGGAGGAGGACCAGGAGGAGGAGGAGGAGGGCGGAAAAGGAAGAACGAGGAGATGAGGAGGAGGAGGGGGAGGAAGAGGAGGAGGAGGAGGTGCTGATGCTGCTGATGCTGATGCTGTAGCTGATGCTGATGCTGATGATGATGATGGATGATATGATGATGATTATTGATGATGATGATGACGATGATGATGATGATGATGATGATGAGGAGGAGGAGGAGAAGAAGGAGGAGGATAATGAGAAGGAGTAGTATGAGGTGGAGGAGGAGGGCGGAGGAGGAGGAGCGAGGAGGGGGAGATGAGGAGGAGGAGGAGGGCGGAAAAGGAGGAGCGAGAAGATGAGGAGGAGGAGGAGATAATGATGATGATGATGATGATGATGATGATGATGATGATGATGATGATGATGATGTTGATGATGATGATGATGAGGATGAGGATGAGGATGATGATGATGGTGATGGTGATGATGATGGTGATGGTGATGGTGATGGTGATGGTGATGATGATGATGATGATGATGAATGAATGATGAGGTGGTGGTGGTGATGATGATGATGATGAATTGATGATGAGAGGATGGTGATGATGACGATGATGATGATGATATGAAGAAGAAGATGATGATGATGATGATGATGATGATGATGATGATGATGATGATGATGATGATGATGATGATGATGATGATGATGATGATGATGATGATGATGATGATGATGATGATGATGATGATGACGAGGAGGAGGAGGAGGAGGAGGAGGAGGAGAAGACAGCAGCTCCCGGCTGGAGGACGCCGCCGTGCTCGGGCAGGCCGTGCTGGAGAGCCCCGAGGACCCCTTCGCCGCGTACGACGCCAGGCGCAGGGAGGACCCCTCGCTCCGCGACATCGGAGTCGACGATAGGGGCGAATAGTCCAGGGGGGGGGATTACATGTCTTCGCCTGGGAGCCTCGCCGAAGGCATGGACCATCGGCGCCCTTGGATACATGTATTGCTCTCCCCTGGGCTATTCGCCCCCATCGTCGCCCCCTAGGACAGCATCAAAACTGGATGTTTGTAGAGGTTTCAGATGTTCTGGTGTTTTCGTCGGTCCCCAGCGGTGTTCCAGCCTCGGGATGCTCTCCCGCGGCTGCGCCTCGTCGAGGGCTTTTCGCAGGAGTGCCCTGTGCAGAATCGTCCCGATCGGCGGCCCGCGAGATTCTTTGTCTTGCAAGCGTATAGGGCGGCTGTGCTTCCTTGTTCTTGGCCTGCGGGGGCTCTCGCCAGGCCTGGGGGCCGTCAGCAACGACTCGGGTTGCGGCACCGTCACAGCGCACACGGCCAGGGGCAGCGCCCAACGCAGGCCGCTGCAGCGACGAGCATACACTGTTGTGAGGCTTGTCCAGACGAGAGGCCAGGTCATTCGGGGCTTCGGTGT